CCTGAAAAAACGACGCGCAACCCGAGAAGCATGAGGCTTCAAGATCTCATAGCCATATAACTCGAAGTGCTCAACAACAAAATTTGTAGCGGAGATGTAGGCCAAAATTATAGTTTAAAACAAACGCTGTCAGCAAAATTCGATGCAATTTTTTCAAGTTCATTCGAAATAAGATTTTTTCTCCAAAATTTAATTGTTGTTGTTGAAAAATTATATTAACTTTAAAACTTGTCTAATGATTAAGTCTGTTGCAAATTTGTTTTGCTTAGTTTCATGAGCAGGTGCGAATAAAATATGATTCCAAAAGAATGGACACAATTCGTTCTCTTTCGAATCGAAATACTGACACAGACCGTAATTCGAAAAAGCTAACCCTTCGTTTGTCGAACTCCATTATATCATTTCGAACAAAAAGAGGTGCGGAAGTTTATGGAAGTACGAAGCTGCTATAGTACACCGTTGAGTGTTCATAAAACGCACAATGTGCATTTAACTATAGCTTAAGGGAAGTGTTTTACATTTAGACGCTCAGGTCTACACTGGTGGAGCTTCTTTTATTCAAAATTACAGAGAAGTTTACAGATCTTTTCAGGTAACGACTTTTCTTAATGTACAATGGCAAAGAAAAACAATTTCTCCAGGCTAATTTGAAAGTCTACTTATTTACCGACAACTAATAATACTTTTTTTGTAAATGATATCGTCGGCGCTGACTCCTTTGTTTTTGCTATGAAAAACAGTGGAATCCAACTACAGAGCGAAAATATAAATATCATATTTACTAATAATGGCAGTAGCATGACAATGTATGTTAAATTTTTTAGTTGTTTGACTTTTCGAGGTTGATTAGCGCCAAGATATTGTCCCAACCGTATATTTACACTTAATGCACAAGCAAATAAACTCATATACAACAACCATCGTGTTCGATAAGCAATTGTTGGGCTGTTAAAGATCGTTCACTGATTGTAGCTGCGAAAATTATTGAACATTCGTATGTCCAATAATCTAACGTTATCATGAATATGCCAGCTATATTTAACGATTATACAGGAAGAACTTGATGTTCGGATTTACGGAGGGTCTGCTAAAGAATTATTTTTGAGCTATAGTGATACACAGAGATCAATCTATGGGTGCTTTGTGATAGACAACAGCATACGACTTAAAAACACATAAAAGCAAATGGGTTGAGTTGTCATATGTGTCTTGCAGTGTCTCACTAGTGATCATCAGTTCTATATGTCTGGGTTGGGTTGTCATGACTTGGCCATAACTCGGCCATTCCATTAAACATTCTCTTGTTATTGGACTCCATGTAAGTTGATAAATATTGGAATAAAATCGAATATAAACAATGGCTAGTATTGACATTGTTAAATAGGTAATGGCAATTGCAGTACCAGGTGTATGAATACCAAGGTACAATTGATATAGCAGACTACAAGAGACATATACGGCCTGAACGCGTGTGACGGCCTGGACGCGTGTGTTTTTTTCAACTTTTCAGCTCTATTTCTCCTCAAATACTACAGAAAATTAGACGAAATTTTTCTCAGAGATGTGCCGTAGAATGCTTGGCTTGTCGTAAAAATTTGGAATAAATGGTTTTAGTAGAACGGTGTTTATAAGCAAAATAGATGTCGTGACGGAATTACATTTTTTAGCCTTTTTCTTCTAGTGCTCTACAAACTTTGAAAAATACTCTGAAACGAGGCATATCCAGAAAAAAAGTTTAATACAAAAGTTGTAGACGGTAAAAGGAGCTTTTGAATCATCTGTTTAATTTTACTTAGAAACGCTTAAGTAAAAAGAAACTAGCGAAATGACTCCGTGAAAAGAAATAATATGATAGTTTCGACTTTAACTAAGTCTACCAACTTTGAGGTGCTCGTAATTCGAAAGTATAAGAATTCAAAATTATATATGTTTAAGCTGCACTCAGTCAGTTGAGCTCTATAGAATATGTATTAGGACAAACACATGGCTTACCATTGCGTCTATGGGCCAGCTACCTCAGAAACGTTATTGTTTCAATTTTTGATTAATAAATGTTGATGAATGTTGAAAATGGTATGCTAATAATGAAGAGAAAACAATAGTACAAGAAAAAAATAAACAAATATTACAGGAAAAACATCAATAATTAATTGGATTTAATAGAGTATTAAGATTAAATAGAGATTCTAATTAGAAACTCTTTGTCGTTCTCAGCTTTTTCAAGGAATTCGTCGTTTTTCAGATAAATACATTATTATCGGAAAGATGGCGTCGCTGTGAAATGTAAAATGTATTTATTTCAAAAACAACGGATTTCTTCAAAAAACGAGAACCTTTCTTCTGCCATTCTTTGGCAAAGTGTGCTTTTTCAAACTCAAACCCTACCCACTGCCTATTTCATTCCCCAATATAAAATCATACATAGGTTCGAAACGTTCCAACCAACCTGACGTTTTTGTAATCGAACGGTTAAAACGTCATGTTGACCTAGCATTTTAACCGTCAGGTTCGAAAAGTGTCGGATTAGAACGGATAAAACGTCAGGTTTAAAAAAGCGTTAGGTTTTTGACGTTTAAACCGTCAGGTTAGTACGGTTAAACGTGCGATGTTTTTACAGCGCATACATGCGTCTGCTGCACAAACGTAGTGTATGATGCAGAATACGTACAAACTATACAATAAAGATAGACGGAACAAGCATTTGGCTGAATTTTTCAAGTAAATTTACTTGTATTGATCAGCCGAGTGCTCCCAAGTAACTCAAAGTACTTATATGTAAAATTACTTGTGGAAAACCATAAGGTACTGGTTTCATTACTTGTACCAAGCACATTTACTAAGGCTATTTACCAAAATTTATACATTTTCTTTTTTTCTCTTATTCTGCCATTGTATCTGTACATTATAAAAAAAGCGTCATTTTTTTCTATCACCCAAAGCGTCAAATTTTTCTATCACCCAATCAGAAAAGTTCAGTAAAATCAGTTTCTTAGTAAAAAAAGGGACAACCGTTAAAACATGCGCTTTTTTTACAGTGGTTGTCCTTCCTTCTAAGATAGTAAAACTCATCTGAATAAGAAAGAGAAAAAACAGCAGGCCGGTTTCGTTTCTACACCCTCTTATGATTAAAACTAGAAACAGCCATGTCCGCGCGTCGAAATTTCGAACTTCGACGAAGGAATCAAATTGTTTACTTGGAATACGGCGACATCTTTATACTGTACTAGACTAAAGATAGGAACTTGACGTACCGAGCACGATATGCTAAAATGAAAACGACGCCGACATCGTCAACACGCAAACATAGAACGTGTTAGTGTCATTTTCATTACAACATATAGCTCGAATAAGGCTACTTCTGTTTTTCGGTAAATTCGATTCATCGTATAAGCGCACAGTCTCTTCTTTTCAAGAATTTTTAAACTATGTACGAAGTAAAAACTCTTTGTTTTCTAGGAACACAGATGAGATTAATAGATGATGCTAGCGAGAAAAATTAATGATTAATGTATACAGAACACTATCTCTTTTACCACGTACATAAATGACCAATGACTAAAAAGCAAGGCCAAATAGTGCAAGCAATGCAAATGTGCTAGTTTGCTTTAACAACGTAGCAACAGGCATTTTGCAAAGGGGGAAACAGCAGCATTAATACCGAAAAAAATACCGTACACATACTACGCACATATCCGAATACCAATTGAGTTTGTGTTTAAAAGGTAGACATAACTGAAATGTGCATTTTGTTCAGTTTTTTACGCTCTTCCCACTAAAGTACAGAAAAAAACATCCTGGGGCCTGTTTCTTAAAAAACTTAAGTAGAAAATCTTACTTAAGTCAAAAAAGACAAAGACTTTTTTAGACTTAAGTTTGACTTAAGTAAGATTTTCTACTTAAGTTTTTTTAAGAAACAGGCCCCAGGCCCCTGTTTGTCATAGTATATTCTATCCAGGCTTTATTGGAGCCCTACAACTGGTATCAGGTGACTTCAGGTAGTCTTGGAATTGTACAAAACATAGGTAATCACGCACACTGAATCTGATGGTAATGCTTAGTTTTAGATAAGAGCTCAATAAAAAGGTAAAACCCAAGTTTTATGAAAAGTGGGGTTACCACGCTGTTTTCACCTAATATTAAAAAATTCACAGCTCCCTCAGAAACATCAGGACGAGTTGGAAACTTCAGGACGTACGGAATTCAGGCTATTCTATATCTTATTTATACAAAAACCTAGAAAAAAAGATTCTAAAATCATATGGTTTTTCAAACTTCTTTCAACTTCTTCTACAGAAACATTATTTCAATTTCTTTTGATCAGATAATTACGTTAAACGGATAAAACTAATATTATCGTGAAGTTTTCAACTCGTCCTGATGTTTCTGAGTGAGCTGTAAATTTTTTAATATTAAGTGATCCATCCACTACTTCTCTGTTATATTGCTTTAAATATTTTAGCCCAGAAGTTTTCGGTACTGGAAGCTATTATGAGAAGTTTATTTGCGCGGCTTTTATTTGTTTTTGCAGAAAAACATACCGAAGGAAATGCACAGATAGTTTCGAACAAAGAATCATCTTGGAAGAGTATCAGAACTACTGGTTAAATACCGAAGTTGCTGTTTCCCTCTTGCATTTTTCCCAATACCAAATCGTTTTGTAAAACAAGGTCTTTACAAAAAAAGCTTAATATAACCTCAGTAAATTGTAAACCGTCCACGTTGTAATAAACAACGTGACATTCTTTTTATTTCTTATTGGGAAAGCTCGAGTTTGACTCATAATGTTTTTTATGATGCCGAAGCGTTATCTCAATATTGTATTTTTGTGTCTTCGAAACTGAAAAGCTTATAATATATTTCACTGGTTCAGCATAAAAGCATACTTTTTCTTTGAACAATGCCGATGAAAGTATTTTTGTGCATTAGCGTAACTCTCTCTTCGATTACTCTATTCTTGCTTTTAATACAGATATATTTTTATTAGCAATTCGTGGATTATAATGGATATTGATCTGATTAATGATTTAATGCAATTGCAACAACAAGATGATAGCGATCCAGAGCGTTCTAAACTTGAAAGAAACGGTAAATTATTAGATTGATAATTTTTCAGTTACAGCTGATCTATTCAATTCCATTTGTCTCCTAGATGATGATCCTGATGATGAAAATAATGCATCGATCAATGATAATGTAGATAATCTGATGAAAAAGGCAAACGAAACAGCAAAAAAAAAAGTTGTTCGTCGTCCGAGACCAAAATTAGATGTAGACAGGTATGAAATTAATCAATCACGAAAAAAAACGTTTATTTATATTTCTTTGTTTGCTTGATTTTGCTAGATTAGTCGGTCCAAAGGGACTTGAAAATTTATGTGATTTGTTTAAGAATGAAACGTTCAAAGGCAAAGGATATGAAGCAAGTCTTGTACTTTTTGTCGTTTCTGGTGAAATTGTTTAACTTTGCTGTTTAGTTCGAAGATTTGAATAAAATGATGCATCAGTATGAATATTGGGCCCATCGACTTGTACCACATATGGCATTTGATGATTTCATTGAAAAAGCTGAGAAGCTGGGCAATAAGAAACCGATAAAAGTAATTATGACATAGGTGAGACTCAACTTTTGCAAGTATAATATTTTCTCGTTTTTTTATTCACAGAATACTTTAAGACATCTGAGAGAAAAGCTTTATGAAAAGAACGATCACCATGATGATTATGTGAGTTTAAAATTATTTCAATTTATTTACCCAACACCCATGTTTGTTTTTTGTTCAGATCAATATACTTTCGCCATTGAATGTAAATGTGCTGAATGATGATGATAGCATGGAAAATATATCGAATACAAACGATAACATAACTGAAAACACAAATTTCAGCAATAACGTAGTCTCCAACCACAACACCATAAATGATGTTCCTAATGATGACGACCTCGATGAACTTTTTCACCAATGATTATTTTTTCTTCAAATCATATATCATACTTCTATATATTATGTAAATAAACAAATTAACTCATGTATATGAGTTGTGTTTAGGCGGTACCGTATTGTGAGAGCAGAACCTACGTGATGTGCCAGTTACTCGACATTGCCGTTCGCGCACACCGCACTGACCTGCTGGGGTACGCTATTAAAAGCTGAACTATGCGGAGAATAACCATTTCTAAATTACATGTCTAACAGTAAAGTTTTAATCATCTCTTCAAAAATGGTTCTTTTCTTTGTTATCCTTTTATTCACGCATTTACTTTAAGCTGATCAAATTAATTCACACTTTAAGCTGGTAAATGATTTGAGAACCGAACATTGATTTTGTTCTCGAGTAGAGTTGATGTCCTTTGTACTACAGATCAAAATGCTATTTGTTCATATTATATTGTTAATAATATAGAGAAAAACAATCAGAACGAACAAACTGTGTGTTTGTGTGTGTGCGTGCGTTTTGTACAAAATTCAATTACGAACATGGCTTAACAGACGTAATTAAAAGTTAAAAAAACAACATAACTGGGTACACAAAAGTAACACTTTCTATTTAATAAACAGGCTTCTTTCTACCTGAGTTTAGTGAAAATAAACAAGAACAACATACATAAAGATATCAATAGAAAATCAATGATGCACACATACAGACAGTGAACTGACCTTTAAATAAATATATACTAATATACATAAAAAGAATGGATACCATCATACTAAAACTTATATGTACAGAAACAATGACCTCTGTGAGCATCGGAGTGTCATGCGGGCATGTAAGTTTGCTGAAAAAGTTCACAACAAGAAAGAAAGAAAAGTTGCAATTGTACCTCATAATAGAATAAAGCGTATCTAGGACGTTGTGTGAAACGAAGCAGAATACAGGGTACATGCTCGAGATGAGCAAACATGATACAACACACGTAATTCCTGAGATTTATGTTCAACTCCATTTTTGTTGCCCATATATATATATATTTATATAATATATATATATATATATATAAGTATATATGTGTGTATGCATGTATGCGAGTATGATTAGAATAAACAGAAAAACAAAACAAAAACAACCATAAAAGATCTGACAAACATCTAATGTGTATATGTGCGTGTGTTACGTTTGAACGCTCTGTCTAAATAAACATACAAAACTGAGCAGAAAAGAACAGAAAAAAAACCAGTGTGAACAGACAAAAACTAGACAAACGTTCAGCAACATGGTACAGAGTATAAAACATACAAAACAAACAGTATCATTTATGAAACAAAAACAAAAATGTATCGGATACACAATAAAGAAATCAGTAAATTCATTCATATTTCTCTTACGAAACTAAAATTAATATGAAACTAGGAAATTGAACACTCATATTACTGCCCTTTTCAACACTTTCGCACTGAAGTAAATAATACACTCAAATCACTTGGCACTGGATAAACAACAGAGAACGATTTGAAATCATAAAAAACCAGCTGAGAACAATTCATTACATAATATTTATATCAGTTACATGATATAAGGTAATATACATGCATAAATAAAAACACGCACACACACACACACATTTCTTATGTAAAAAAAACACGTTGTCTATTTTGTATATATACATGACAATAAATTTGGTCGTCGTCGACATCACATTAATAGGCTACGACACTGCGTATAATTTAAACTCCGCAGAATGTTGACCACTAACCAGACGTAGTGACAACAGAAATTTTGAGCTTATATATAATACGATTCTCTTCATTGTATCGATCTATTCAAAATGTATCATCGCAAAGAGTCGAATGAACAGAAAGATCCGGAGAATTGAGCAACTTAAACGAAAAAGAAAGTAGTTTCGTTTTACTTTTCAAACAAAAGTTTCCTTACAAAATCATTATCATCCAATAAGTCATCTGAATTCAATAAATTTTCAAAAGAATTTGAAAAATCACTTAAATCTTTTGATAAATCAGATTTTGAACTGTCAGCATCTAGAACAAATACATGAAGGATAGTTTGTTTCGTTCCCAAGCAAATATTCTTACTAACCAGTAAGAATAATATTTGGAATAGTTGGAGACTTTTGACTAGTCTTTGTCGACACGGTCATCACTGTTTGGGACTGGCAATAAGGACTCCTAAATTAAAGAAAAAATGTAGTTTCATCACAGACAAAAATTGGATACGAAAGAAGAAAAACACGAATTAACTATTCAAATTCATGCTCTAATTCGATAGTTTTAACTATACAAAGTGTCCATTTTTAAACGTAAGACATATTTTTTTCTATTAATTAAGCTTAGCAACAAAAAAAATTAGTATTTTGCTAGAAATCTAGAAAATGTTAGTAGAATAGCGGTGAGCGGCAATATTACTTGGGATTGGCTTCACACTTATACGTTTAGCATTCTGAAAATTAAGCGTAGCAAAGCAAAAAAATATATTTTAAAAGGCAGTGTTTAAATTACACATACAAATCATCGATAAATGTTGGAAAAAATGTTCTCGGCCGCAAACAATTTAAGTTATGCGTTGTTGAAGACGTTGCTGATGTTGATTGATGGGAATTTGTATATGGACCACCATTAGAAGAATTTAAGTGGTTATGGGATGTATTGGACGATCCTTGCGCAAAAACAAAAGATCCCTCCTAAAAAAATAAACGTGTAACTGTCCGACTACAACTGTTTCATTAAATCATACCAAACTTATTTGATCAAACTGGTTCGGTAAAGTAAAGTAGGGTTGATTATTATCTTGTGGCGAAAACGGACCCATATCATTTGCAGGGCTTGATAATAAGTGTGGTGAGCCTTGAGGTGAGTAACTACTTTGAGATTGTGGACTTGATGGTTCAACACGATAGATAGTTTGTTGATTCTACAGTAAAAACGATGAGACATAAAGAGAAGATGAGTAGACGTTTGTTAGCTCTATACCGAACAGACATCAGGAGATGGAGAATTTTGTCTTCTTGGTGAAGTGATCTTGCCGTCACCTATTGGACTATGTCTTCGACGAATACCTGGACTCGGTCCTTTGACTGGTCCAATATTCGATGTGAGTTGTTGTTGAGGACCCTAAAAAGATATTCAGTAATATAACGGGTGTTCCATAAAGAATGGCCCTATTAGTATTTTCTAAATATCTCTGTCAAGGTTGATCGCCAAGTCTCAATCTTTTTTTAAAGTATTTCTCATTCAATTCTCTGCACAAAACATATTGAACATTTCTTTATATAGTATAAGAATAAAAAAATACAGAAGAAAAATGGGAAAGCTTCAATAACGATTACTTTCAAATCCAAAAAACAGATTTTTCAGTTTCGGTCCCTTATATTTTGCGATATAAAAAAAGAGAAAGGCTATTTTGTAGTTCTCGAAAAGTTCTATCAACTGATTATATTTGAGACCCTTCATAGGCTCACGCAGTGGCAGGAGGTTTTTTTTTCTTTCAGTGATTGTGCCCAAAATCATCATTTTCTAACTACAGTTTTGAGGAACTTAGGAAAATTTGTATGATTTGATCAAAACCACACGTTATGACGTCGGATCTGGTTTATCTTAAAGCAAAATAATTCTTCGGTTACATCCGAACAGAGAAAGTCGAATAGTCCCATTTCGTTTCCTGTGCCAAGGCGCAAAAATCAAGTTTTTTCGTCTTTTTTACTTTTCGTAAAATCTCCGTTAGTGGTAGAAAAAAAGTTGTAAAGTTTGTAAAATAAAATAAAGTTGTAAAAAGTTTGTAGCGAACTTATGATACAAGAAAAGAAAAGTGACATCTGGAGCACCAGAAAATACATTTCGACCCCATCTTTCAGCATCCAAACCCGCATTGAATGCCAGTCTTACCTCCTTGTACTGCATCCGAGAGTTTTGTCAGACTACACCTTTCAAAGTTGCGGATAAAGCTAAAAACTCACTAATGAAAACAAATCATCTGATATAGATGATTTATTTCGATGATTAGATGATCGTGGTTGAATGTGATGAAATTGTTGAGAATATAGTGAAGATGATAAAGGCGTTGACGAATAAGATTGTTGTTGACGATGAGACATGCTTGACTGATGTTGAAATGATGATAAATCCGGCAATGAACCACCATGTGGCGGATGTTGGCTCGTTGGTAACATGAGAACATTCCCGCAACGTATGGTATTGGTTGTATTTGGAACATGATGAATTGTGTTGATATTATTGTTGGTTTGCATGAAATCGTTGTAAGGCTGACTGTTGTCACTTTGATCGAATATATGACAGTTATTATTTATGTGAAATTGCTGAAATTGCGGTTGCTGTTGTAAATGATGATCCGAAGATTGTGAATCATAAAGATGCACAGGCTAAAAATATAAATAAATATAATTTTATAGACTTAACTCCCAACGTATAGAAATGCTCACAATCAGGCACACACTTAAGCGAGCAGTAGCTCCACACAAAGTCCATCAACTTGAATACAATGGCGTAACTATAGGGGAGAGGTCATTGAGCTATAGTCCAATGCGATTTGAGCCTTGGTCCAATAGACTTTTTAACTTTGTGATTTTCCCAGCTGAAGGTTTTTGGGCTCAGTGTTTTCTCGAATTATTAGTGTAGTCCAGCCGTTTTTTTCGAACTAGGGGAGTTGGCTCAATAACCAAAAAATCATAGGTACGCCACTGCTTGAATAAGAAAAGTCACAAAACAATCTCTTTATCATAAAACGCTCAAAAAACAGCACCAGTTTTCTCATTAGAAACATAATCAACCGGGAGAAAAAGAAATATGTACCTTCTTTACATTTTCTATATCATAATTTTGGTTGATTAAGTGCCCTAAAATAAGAGACAAATGAGTAATCTCACAAACTTAATAAAGTAAGTCGTATATACAAAACAGGAAATTTATCTCTTAGGATAACAACTATACTTTTAAAAATGAAAAAAAGGTGTGTGTACCGGATGTATCGTTGTTTATGGGTAATCCAATCGTGGCTGTATGATGAAGTGATGAGTCTGAATGAGTTCTAAAATAGGCAAAATATTGTATTGTTTTTTGTCTCTCATACTACAACAGGTTAAAATTTTACCTTCTCCACGGGGTCTCGGGGGGCTGAAGCAATCTTTCTGATAAATTTCCATTATTTTCAACCTAAATTAAAAAGTCATGCTAGCACAGGAACCTCAACGAACAAATAAACTCTCAGCTACTTTTTTAGGCTGAAAACATTGTGAGATATTCACTTGTTGTGAAGAATGATTATCTGATTGAGCGAGTGTCATGCCATTTTTTGTCATATTTATATGGTGAGTCTAAAAAATACCACACAAAACATGAACGCAAAATAACGGGACAATTGCTAGAGCTTATTCATACTGGATAACTGAGACCATGTTGATCATATTCGGCCGAGGGTATGTCTAATGAATCAAGATGGTTACTCAGCAAGTTGTTATTCAAATTGTTCGGTGTATAGGACTGATATGATATATTGTTTCCCACAGGAACAGAAGATCTCTCAATACGCTGAAACAGATAAAACACAGTTGAAGACAATACACAAGAAGAAATTGATCAACAAACTTGTTTTGCTGCTTCGACCTCATAAATAATTTTTGAAAAAGCCGCATCACCCTCAGCAGCTTTTTGTTGCATTAAGGCAATTTTCTCAGCAAATTTCCTTGGATTTGTCATTGTTATGGTGCAAAAGAATATAAATGAAAGTCACTTAATTAGGAAACAAACTAGAATGAAAAATAAAAATATATAGATTCTATAATAAAATTCTAATGCTAGTGCTAACTCACTAATCGAGAACGATAAAAAATAAATCCATTAACAAAAAACCAGTGATTGGATAATTTCATAGTCAGTAGTGGTGTTTTGTTGATTTAAAACGAAAGGAAATCTAAAATAAACAAAGATTTGTGAATTTTAAGTAATTTTTTAAAACGAAATAAATAATAATAATATTTTATAGTTTCTACCTCGAAAACAATAGTGAAGAAAAAGCGAAGCAATTCTACTTAGAACAGTGTAGCTTAACCAGATGAAAGGTTCTAGATGTTTGTTTATCTTCTTTTTCAAGATCCAACTCAACGAACATAATGAAAATAAAGAGTAATGGTAATTCGTCTGGTTAACCTTTTTAATTGAACTGCATTAAAAATAAATAACAGATAAGAATGAAAAAATGGATTGATGTCGGCTAAAAATGCTGAAAACCTTTTATCTCCCATAAACGGAACCACATAATTTTTGACCAATCAGACGGACAAAAATCCATAACTGATGACTGTATGCCTTTACTACGGCCGAGATCGAACGCTTGCCAAAGTAATAAAGAATTTAGTGAAAGGTAACCATTTCCTCAGTAATTTTACAAAAAAAGCAACTGCCATCTTAATTTACTTCGCTAGCATTCAATGGTTTCTATTGGCAGTTAATAGTATGGTCATCGATGTCCAATTGTGTTCTATTCCAATCGTCTTGTCGGTATGTTATGGTACGATACGTTACTTATTAACTTCTGACTAACGGGTGACATTTTCACCAATTTATGTGTGTTATCATCCATCTAAGTGGACGATTTTCCTTTCTCCATACATGTCACTCACATACACGCGGGCAGAACTGTACTCTCAGATACATGATTTCTCACCCACTTATTAGGATCACACCCCACTGATGACACCCCATTGGTGACAAATTACCGAACGGATTGGACAGCGAAAATGACGGCACTCTGAAGTTTTTTTAAATTAAAATTTTCTGAAGTTAAACTTGATCAGAAAACTTTATTTTTATGTCAAAAAGATAAAGAACTGTCTCTAGATTTTATTCATATGCTATTATAAAAATAAGCATGTTCCATTCTTTTACAACAGTAAAAATACTCGAAGCCGCGAAAATCTCAACTGCTCAGCTGCAAAATCAGAAAAGTTCGAAATACTTTAGTATTTTGCAAAAATTTGGTTAAGTCCTAACAGACGCAAAAGTTTTCTGAGTATCTAGCTGTGTGTTGTTTCTTATACGCTTATTTGTTACTGTTTTGTAAAATGGAAAATAGCAAAAAGGCATCTTTGATCAACTAGGTGGTACTTTATTTTGGAGACTTCCTCAAAGCCTTGACTTATAAAAATTATTGTTTTTATATCAAAAGATACTGAATTTCTACAAAATACACTTCTTTCTATGGGTTTCATCGTTTGGGTAATGGATGACAGTGTTGAGATATCTTCCTTTGAAGGGAATGGCGGCAAACACAAATAATGATCCAACTGTTGTCACCGGCTTTTACGGCTCTAAAACTTTGTCCAAAAATATAGTTTTGTGCCCAGAAATTAAGAATTTATTGTAGTTTTTAGTACCGTGTTTGACTCACGCGAGCAAAGCTTCTATGTTTCATATCATACATATTGAACGATGGCGTTAAACTCACGAGCTCCATGTGTCGACCTTTGTGAACGATGAGAGTCGCTATTGGACATGTTATAGGATGTTGTCTATGCTGACCAGGACGATACCATCACAGGAGGTGATTATATAGTATAATATACGAGCATAAACTTTTATTTTTTTCCAGTCAAGGGATAGCATAAAACTCTATGATCAACGTAAAAAGTGTGTTGATAGTGGAGTTTAACATTTATGCCTAATTTATCTTGACGTGCAAAATGGTGTGAGATCAAATACCGGAACTGTAGAATGATTAACTGATGCGTTCAGCTGAATTCACTACAGTGATCTATAGAAGAAATTCTGCATAACTGAATTTCTATTATAATAGTAAATGCTGTGACAATGACAGATTCCTGACTTAAGAAAAAATCTTGGTGACACGAACAAAAATTCCTTTTAAAGAAAGAAAAGTTTTTTTAATAGAGTAGCTGTTTGTCATTTGAAATAGTACAGCATTTTTATACGGTTCTCATTTATGAAATGCGTGTTGAAGAGAGCATTGTTTACATATCGTACTGAGTATACTAGAACTTTTTTGCCAGAAAAATGCAACAATTATATCATCATTTCACCTGTATAACTAAACTAGTGTTTCACTTCTATTTTACTATAAGATGTCATTTACTGCTGGATCGTGCGATATATTTGCCGTTTTTCCGCCCCGCACGGAGTCTAACTTTATTATATTTGGAAAAAACTCTGATCGGCCATCAAATGAAATTCAAGAAATTATACTCGTTTCAGACAGTAAAGACATCGATGATCATGTTGCAGTAAGTTCGAGCTATTTTTGCCTGTATTATTAATAAATATGTTTTCATTTGCAGTGTACCCATATAAAAATTCCAAGTACAAAGACATACAATTGTATTCTTAGTAAACCAGCATGGTGTTGGGGTGCTGAAATGGGATCGAATGAATATGGAGTTTGTATAGGTAATGATGCTGTCCACACAAAAATTGCATATGATTCAAGAGAGCCAGCCTTAATAGGGCTTGACATTGTACGGTATGTTTTCTACCTATTAAGCTATGTTGCAAACATTCATTGTCTTTTGTTCTTTTAGCTTGGCCCTTCAACGTTCAAAAACAGCTGAGGATGCCATGAAAACTATATGTAATTTGGTTGAGACTTACGGTCAAGGAGGATCGTGTTTTGATGTTAGTGCTAATCTTCCGTATGGTTATGATAATAGTTTTTTGATCGTTGATCGAACTGGTGGGTGGATTGTTGAAACATGCGATCGTGTATGGGTTGCAAAAAAATTAACAGAAGGTTATCATAGCATCTCCAGCGTATTAACAATTGGTGTCGATTACGATTTAACATCAAAAAATTTGGAGACATTTGCAAAAGAAAAACATTTATGGGACGGTTCTGGAAAATTGAATTTTGCAAAAACTTTCCAAGGTAGATTTTATATAATAAAAAGTGTTGTCTTGAATCATCAAATGTTATTTTGATTTCAGGTCCAAGTCCATGTACAGATTTACGACTAGAAAATGGACGAAAATTGCTTGAAAAAACCACAGTGAATAATAAATTTTCGGTTCTTGACATGATGGATATACTAAGAGATGAACAAAGCGGAATATGTATGTCTGATAAAGGAGATATGTTTCGTACGACAAGTTCGCAGATATCCGTACTGAAAACAGGAAATGATAAAAATAAATTTTTACATTGTCATTTTTTTACCGGTACTCCTAATCCTAAAATATCGTTATTCAAACCGTTTATATTTTCTAAACAAGCTGAAATTGGCATATTAACCATTTCTCCTCCTATCGAAATTGAGTCAACACGCGCACATCCGTTGTACGTAACACATCGAAATTTGACACAAGAACAATTGAATGAAGTAAATTTAGATGAATTTGAACGAGAAGGTATTAAAGAAATTTTATCGAAATTGAAAAATGATGACGGAGATGATAAAATTGAAGATTTATCAACCTTGTTTCATGATGCGGTTTTGGCTGAAATGGAATTACTAAATCAACACTGAATAATTTTTCACTTCTATTATTATTATCCCTTTTTTGTGCAATATTTTTCGGTATTATTAAATTATTTCGTCTTGTGATTTAAAAGTACGCAAATAAGTCATTTCCTATGTAATTTCAAGAGATCTTGACAAAAAAGTTCCATTTTGAATATCGAATGATCTAAAAGATCCTTTTTTCTTGTTTAACCTTATTTTTAAAGATATTTTTCTATATTTATTTTGCTTATGTCTTGTAATTTAATTTCAATTTTAGTATATAATATATGTTTGGATAGTGTTATACGTCTGCTCTAATTTCTTTTATCTTGAACAACAGTTTTAAATGGTGATTTAAACTAACAAGAAAAATTATTCAGATTTGAGAAAGTTTGTAATCGATCATAAACAGACAGTTTAAACTTTTCAAATTCTGCCTATTTTAATAACTCATGTCCATGTTCTTTTTCGTTTACTTATAAAATTTTGAAATAATTCAAATGGATTTGAAATAGTAGAACATGTTCCTTCATTTCGAAACGTAGAGCAACTTATTTTAAATATCCGATAATAACCGATCTTCCTTACACATGAAAAACCCATTTGAATGTCTTTACTTAGTCAAAAATTGATTTGTGTTTAATTGAAAGAACAAAAAGCTTGTACAAAAATTACACTAATATAACGATAGATTAAAAAAAAGAAAAAGAATACAAAAAACTGGCATATGTTAAAGATAGTGAAAATGCGAACGTCGTATGTTACAGTTTTGTAAGTTTCTACTCACTAATAATAATAATAATAATAATATCTATCTAAAAAGGAGTCGCTAGATAATAAATTTCATTATACTGTTTCTCATTTAATTAGATTTATTACTTAACATTTTAAACATCATCTAAATTCTCATTTTCACTATAACAGCAACAACATCTACATGTAAACATTTTTCGTAAACATAGACGAAATTTTCCGCTAAATATAACATAGACAAAAAATCTCATTAAAATATTAATATAAACAAGTAATAAAGATGAATCATAGGCAATTAATATTTCTCGTCCTAATGATCCAGTTATTGTACTATGTTTTGATTGTTGTTCACGTGAAAATAATTTACCAAAAAAAATGACAAATGAATAAGGCATAACTAATAGAAGATGTAAAAAACAACTAAATAAAAATAATTTACTTAAATTTTGTCGTTCTTGATTATTTAATCGTTGTATATTATCTTGTTCATTGTATCCATAATTTATTGTATAATGAGATATATGATTGTGTTGATGGTGATGTTGATTATTTAATAAATAATGTTCTCGTTTTTTACATAATGTATACAATAAAGCACCAATAAATACAAAAATTGAGAATACTGGTACAAATAGAACAATAATTTGTATATACCAAAAATAGATTTGTTCATACAAAAAAGACATTTTTAACGGTGTTGAATGAAATATATTTTCTTTTACTTGTTCCCATGCAAATATTTGTGGTACAGCTGATATGATACCCATAAGTAAAATTAAAACAATTATATTTCGTGTTTTAAATGGTGAACAAAATAATTTTTCATTATAACCATTTGATTGAATACATGTGATTGTATGATCTTAAAAATAACAGAAAGAAAAAAGTTTATAATAGATCATTAATTGTATTAAAAGAGATATTTACCTAAACATGCAATAAGAAATATCCATATGATAATAAACCAACATGCATAATGTAAAGCATTTATATAGATTCTTCCACTAAAAAATGTTGGTATAAAATGATAATAATTTGGAGTTAAAATTGCACCAGTAATTAAAAATATAGAGTCAATAATTGATTGCATAAATAAATAAGGTTTTGATGTTATATAAACACGTTGGACTAATGCAATTAATGTTAATAATGAAAATATAATGCCAGATGATAGACATGTTGGATATAAATAGGGCATTAAATATTCTACGGTCGATATCCAATAAGAAGGTGTTAATGTTGTTTGATGATTCAATGGATCACGATTTGTCTCAAATTCATAACGATCCATTGTTTTCTATTATTATCGTACTGTTTAACTAAACATGTAGGAAAAAAATTGAATAGTCTAATTCTGCATCAAAAATTAAAATTTTTCTATTATTGATTGTCATATGATAAAAAAAGACTTATTTAATTTGACTTTTCTATAATGTAGAATAGTTTAGACATAGAAAGATATCTTTCATACAATTTTATAGTTGAAACTTTTTTCCACAGTAAAATAGTATGGTACCCTTAACCTTATTAATAATATATGTTCACTACTTCCGTATATTCTTCGTTTAAGTGATGAATATTATACACGTTTACATAATCTTGTCTCGTGATTTATATATAACATTTACTAGCGTTGACCCTGTCAACTAGGTACCATATACGGATAAGGGAAATCATTTTTATCCTTGTGGATAATCAAGCATTGTATTTCTTTTTTTTTATCATTGTACTTCTATTCTCAGAAGGCTATAAGTGCTATGATGCTCCTTTTGTGTATGTATATATATGATTGAAAATTAAATGAATGCATAAAAACTCATTGACTTTTTCTCTAAAATCTTCCATTGAATAGAGATGCCGAAAAGAAACAGAATATAGATTGCTTTTTCCAGAATTTTTTAGAATAACTCACAGTTATTATTTTATTATATCACGTAAACTAGGGTTCATCGTTCAAAATGTTACTATATTCTACACCTGCTAGTGGTAAATTACTTTTTTTTTATACATATATGTGCGTGCCATATAATTTCATTTTAGTAATGGGAACTTGCCAACTTTGTTATGTTCTCACAACACTGTAACATTAATTTTAAACAAAATTAATTTTTCTAATCAGATCATTCTATAGATTGATAAAAAGTTACAAGATGCTTAAAAGATAATTAGGGGTATAGATAATAATGTCTGTTCATATTTGCCTGTTAGTTGAAGAATCAAAAAGAATAATTAACAAAAGACTTTGTTAATAAAAAATTTTTTCATCATTTTTTCAACTAGAGATAAAACAAATGCAACATAAATTAGAACTATTTAGATGAACTAATCTGAGTACTAATCTAAGATCAGAAAAATAATGTTATCACTTTCGAGCAGAGATTATCTATTGAAAGTGTTGATTCTCAGAATAAAGAACAGCAGTCAAACACCAAGGATTGTCGTTCTCAGCTGTCTCTTTCGACTGAACTATTTAATGAAAATATGTGCTATCCAATGCGATTCGCTAAAATCGAAGGAGAATTACTAAACTCAGATCTTTATTTCCATTAAATCTGATATTCGTGAAGTAACGGAAAGGAAATGAAAACTACTCTGAAATACTTTCGTCGAGTATTGTCACGCACGAGACAAAAAGGATGGCTGCTTTACGTACCCAACTTGTAAAGATACTAACACTTTTTTGAAGACACTCGTTTGTTTCTCACCTATATAACATAGAAACGTGAATAATTTAAATAATCCCATAAGTTCAGTCAATGTCTGAACAGAAAGGAACTGAAAGAGTTTTGAAACACACTCATTAAGTTCAGAATAATTTTGCTAGCTAACATTTCTAAGCCATTTTTAATCATTAAATGAATTCTTTTATTGTTAAAATGTTTTATTCATTTACTATTTCTGTGATAAAGTATAGTCATATCTGAACGAAGTGAGACTTGTCCTCCTCACTTTTTGGAAGCAATTTTCAGTGCCGAATATATTCGCATCGGATTCGGGAGACTCTTCCGGATGTGCTCGTATGCAGAAAATTTTTATTGAATTAAGTTTGGATACAAGAAGTTATAATTGTTTTCATCGTTATTTTCTGGATATTATCTATTAGTTGATATCTTTAACTCTGAAAAATAGAATGAATGACGATAAAAACACATTTACCTCAATTTCGTTGTTATTTCATTATCATTGGTAAAGTTTTTTGAATAAGAAGAGAAAGAGCTTGACTCATACAAGTTCAAAAGTGCATCTTCCTTTCTTTCTCTCTCACTATATGCTGTGCCAGAATTTTTTCTAAATGAAGACAGGAGAGTGAACAAACCGCGTTCTGTACTTAGATATATAAAAGAAATGCTTTTTTCTCCTCTTTTTTTTTTTGACGTTTTGAACATTATTTCTCTTTCTACTTGGTTCGAAACTGGTATATTTCGTTGTCGGCCGTACATGTCTCGATGACATGATGCCATCAAACTCTTTAATGTATGTATATTGTACGAGAAAGAAAACCAAAGTCTGTCCATTTTTATCTATCTGTATAAAAGCGGTCATTCTGTTGTCTATGTGAAACAGAACTATTAATGTCAGAGAAAGAAGATGGTGGTATCATTGTGAATTCTAAACATTTTTTTTTCAAGACAACATATATCTGGTTATCAAGAGGCAATGGTCATGACACAGGAAAACAAGAAGTAGAATGTGAACAAATTTGTCTAATTATATATGAAATAAGAGAATGAATGGTCAATGAACTCAAATTTCCGATTTCTGCTCATTCAACTATATGATGATGATTTTCTTATGCGTTACTATTAGATTTATTCAAAAATGAGGAATAAATCAAAATATGTGTACATTATCAATTTATTGTTGTTGTCATTGCTGAAAATGTTTAGAATGATATTAGTCTGTGTGCGTGTGTTTATGTGTATAAATATCAGTCAATAAGAAAAATGTCAGTTAGATAAAAGCGGAAATTTTCTGTTATAACATATTGACTTGACACTGAATATATCTCAACAAATCAAAGAAACTCATGTGTTCTCGTTAAAACATAGAGAATAACGTTTGAACACATGCAGCCAGACATAAGCATGTACTAATATCAATCACTATTGAAAATATTGATCCAATAGATTGTGTACCCAGTATTATTGAAATCCATTGTATATTGGGCCAATAATCCAATATTATTAGTAAAAACCCAATATATTGGGTTCCAATAATATTGGGTCACAATATATGCCTGGCTAGATGGTGTAACTAAATGGATTTGTCTTTAGTATTTAAACATGTAGATTTCAGAAACAAACATTTAAAAATTACAAACTCAACATGTCGTAAAACTCAAAACAAAATTTATCGACCTATCACAGAATTAAAATTTTTATATGGACTTAAAATCCGTCTCCAGTAGTTGTGAAGTAATAATTTAAGATAATCAATTAGTTTTTTCTTTTTTTGCAAAAATTTGTTATGTTGATATTCTAATTATGATCGATCAGTCATTTTTCTCTTTGAATTTTTTCGTCTTAAACAAAACTTATTTTTTAACATTAGAGATATATTTAATTTTGCAGAGTATCATTTTTATTAGCACGAGTATACGCACATTCATACACATGCACACACACTTATATATATATTTGCATTGATTATTTTTCATTTCTACTGTCTGTGTAGTAAGTAACATTTACTTTCGATTGTTTTTCGCCATAATCCAAATGATGTATACTGTTTTTGTTCAATTACACGAATTTTTTATTTGTACGTATGTTATTGTTTCAAACGAAACACAGAATGATGCTGGTACCTTTACAAATTTATACAGCTCTCAAATATCACCAGTATAAATGTGAAATGTAATAAATAACTCAAATAGACCTTATAAAGTTAAAATAAACTTGACTGACATACTGTAAATGTATTCTGAGTCTAAAAATAAAATTTGAATAAGAATGACAAATCATTCTACGCATATCGTCTCAAAAATTGACACTTATCTTGTTGGTATTAACACTCTCTCGTTACTTCGTCAACCATGTTATTCTTTCTCCATAAAGCAGCAGTACTGGTTTATTTCTTCGAGCACTATACAAACAAACTACTTTAACTCCGTTTCTTCAATAGTTAAACGGTTATTTTAACGGTTGTTAAAACACATTTTTCATAAACGTTTTCACACCAGAATGTTTACATATAATAATGAGTTTTTCTTTCTAATACTACTATCTGATTGTGTTCTTTTTGAAGTGATACCGTGATATTTAGTAGTGAGAATTAAGGTGTTAATACGCATCGTTTCAAATGAATATTTTAAATTTAACATTGTTAAAATCAATACGTTGAATATTAATATTGTAGTAGTGAATTGAATAGCTTCTGTTTTAAAATCATCTTGTCATAGCCATATATGTGCATCACACAAATGATTGCAAGGAAGTTCTTGAGAATTATAAAAATTATTATTATATTGCAAATTTGTACCACTTATAAATTCTTTGCAAACAAGTTTGTTAACATGCAACAAACAATTGTTTGTACGGCTTTCAAGGTGCAATATTTGCACTTTAAAACAATCGGTTACTAAAACGTGGAAACGATGGTTTAATAAGAGAAAAACATGCAGCCACGATTTAGTTTATCAACAGAGTCTAAGTCTCGAAAATTTATTGAGTGTTAGACGAAGAAATTTTTTAATCACATTATTCAATGTAAAATTTTCTTTGTTTAATTGCAACACCTAGTTCTTTTAATTTAAATATGACTATTGAAGCGTATATGATTGTGAGATAATTCAGTTAGAAATTAACCCATTTTCGAATTTCTGAGATGCAAACTCATGTATACCTTTTCTTATTTGAATATTGAGATAGACCAGCGACGCCAAGTGTTCCATGACCATAGATAAATCGTGCTAGTATTTTACCTGTATAGCCCTTTAAAGTCCAATATCCATTTGAATGGACATTGGCATTATCATTATAATAAACTAAGGAAGCATTGTTTGAAAAAATTGATCTTATATCGGTTGGAGAGAATTAAATTGGCTATGGAATGGTAAAAAAATATTTTGTTTGTGTTTTATGCTAGCTAAGATATTCAAATTTTAAAATGAAGAAGATTTCGAAAAAATTTAACTTTAATTTTAATTGTATTTAACTCCTTGAGGACGGGGTTACTGTTAGAAAAAACGAAGTTTTTCGAAACTCTGAAACAATGTATATATTCACACCAATGTAAAGCACAAATGTCTAAAAGTATTTCAGAGCATGATAATCTCGAAAACAACCTGATACA